CTGGACCGATTGGCAGCATCAGGATGGATGGTGAAGAGATTGAGATTGTTCACAGGTTTAGTTTGCTTGGCTCCACAGTCAACAGTCTTGGCACCAGTAGCCAGGAAGTTAAAAGGCGCATTGCCATGGGAAAGTCTGCTGTTACAGACCTCTCCAAAGTACTGAATAGCAATGGTGTCTCTCTGGAGACTAGGTGCGTTTGATACAGGCCATGGTCTTCACAATCACTTGTTATGCATCAGAGAGTTGGACTATGACCAAGGAGGAGAGAAGAAGAATTGATGCCTTTGAGCTGTTGTGCTGGAGTATTGAGAGTACCATAGACTGCTAGGAAAACAAACAGATTTGTCCTGGAAAGGGTTAAACCTGGTGGCTCTTTAGAGGCAAGGATTCTGAAGCTCTGTCTAACATACTTTGGACATGTTGTGGGGAGAGACTGGTACTTGGAGAAGGACATCATGCTTGGGAAGGTGGAGGGACAGCGCAGGAGGGGAAGGCCCACTGTGAGGTGGATTGATTCAGTGACTGGGATAATCAGGATAGGAGTGTCAGAGACAGTGCGATTGGCACAGGACAGAGCAGAGTTTAGGGCTGTTGTACATAGGGTTGCTATGAGTCGCAAGTGACTCGACGGCACATCACAACAACAGGCTGCAACAGTTTCATGATGCATCTTCAAGGATATGAATGTGTATCACTAAGCACTATTGATAAAAGTGCATCTAAATTCCAAAATTAATCTCCATAAGAGTATACATGTTTCCTATTTCCAAAAGGGTCCTTTAGAGTAGTGAGAGAAGATCCTCACCCTGAAACCTACAGTGTCCTTTATCAGCAGGAAGTACCTAAGAGAATCCAACACCCCCTCTCCTAATGAATCAGGGTGAAATCTCTCTCAGGGAGGAGTGATAGGGATTGGCAAAGCGTACACTGACAAAGGAGATTAATTACAACCGGTTTTGACAAGGACTGTGGCAATATAACTATAAAAACAGATTCTCAAGGAATATTCAACCTGAATCCTTCTGGTCATATGGAGATTTTTGAAAGTATTTCTTTGAGTTTATTATGTTTAATTTATTTGTTTGTTTGTACATGAAGGATGGAGAGAACTAAAACCAGCAAGAATGAATTAAAAAAGAGAAAATGCTCCTCTAGATGATAATATTATTATGATAAAAACAAAAGGGGGAATTATGGGAAGCCAATACAATTTGTAATAAACTGAATGCAGTTTCAGGATGTGGGGGAGGCAAGGTTCAAGCTAGAGTTCACCCTGAAGCACTAAGGCAATCCTTAAGGGTTTACCAGATTCTTGCATTTGGGAACCTCCCCACCTCCTGAGTAAAGCAGAAGGTTTTCAATAGAAAGAGTTTGGCCTCATTTGCACTGAATTCTCTTTGTGATTTACTTCCTGATAATTTTCAATAAAGATACGGAGAAACTTGGCTTGGGGTCTTCTGCTGAGAACTGCTGGCCCCCTGTTTTATGCTTTCTGATCTATCTCATTCCTGGTTGGCTGTCTCATTATTAATAATTATAAAAATACTTAAACCTCAGGCTGCAATAGGTAGTTTATTGTATAATAATATGTCAGACTTCTAATCAAAGGGTCATTGGTTTGAAAATACCAGCCACTCCATGGAAAAAAGATGGATTAATACCTCCTGTTAAAATTTACAGCCTTAGCAACCAGATGGAATGTTGATTTAAGTTGGACTTGACAGGATGGTATAGGGTTTTATTCTGACAAAGTAGCACATATAACATACTTAAGAGAATCATGAAGGTAGAATGACCTCTACTGCTGAGGGAATGATAGGCAAGCCTATCAGGGACAAAAGCTGGAGTTCACCAAATAGAATAAGGAGCAAGAGAAGGAAAGAGAAAAGCTGTTCTACCAGCAAAGGGATTCAGGCAGAGGGATTAACTGTCCTTTGATAAGGACACTGTGTCTTTATTTTTTATTAGATGACAAATTTATTAGTTTGTTGTTTTGTGTACGATTGATTCAGAACAGATCCATAGCTGACCCTCCAGCGAGTTCTCAAAGGCAGTCAGTTGAGAATAAAAGAGGTAACATGTAAAACACCTTGTATATATAAAACCACACTGAAAAGGTATCAGTTCTTCTTCTGTCATCCTTATTCATTTTACAACTTTCAGATGCCTAAGAAGTAAATGAAAAGAGTGAGATGTATGCAGATCCTTGTTTCCTGACACCTTGGAAAGAACTTACTTTTCCAGCAGAGCTTCTTTTTGAAAATATAAATCATACTTAAAAGTTGAAATAAAAGCTAGTGTAAAAATGCTGACAAATAAAGCTCAAAATACACAACCTGGAGAGGTTAAAATTTATGAATGGAATCTTCTAAAATTTAATCCCTGTGTACATCAGAAACACTTTCCAAGAGAGTAAAAAGAAAACCCACTGACTGGGAAAAAATGTTGGAGAAGATGTGGTGAGATAGGAACTCTTCTACACTATTGTTGAGATTGTAAAATGGTGCTACCACTCTGGAAGGCAGTTTGATGTTTCCTCAGAAAGCTGACCTAGAAATTCCATATGACCCAGCTATTTCATTGCTTTGAACATACCCTGAAAATGAGAACTGAGGCACAATTGGAGACTTGTGCACCAATGTTCATAGCAGCTTTGCTCACCATGAGAAGAACACAGAAACAGCCCAAATGGTCAACCATAATCAAATGGACTGAGAAATTGTGGTACATTCACACAATGAAATACTATGCAGCATGCAGAAGCAATAATTATGAAAATCACTACATAACTTGAGAGGGACTGGAGAGAATTATGCTGAGTGAACTCTCTCTGTCCAAAAAGGACAAATACTGTATAAGACCATTATTGTAGAAATAGAAAGGTAACTAAAAACCTATATTAGGATCCAAGGAGGGGAGAATAGGAGCAGATGGGTGAGGATGGGGGAGCAGGGAAGGAATCATAGGGTTGCACAATATGATGGGTGAAAAGAGGAATGCGTAAAAGAAATGGGAAAAATCTGGAGTGAAAAACAATGTACACCAACTTTGTAAGCAAACCAGTATAAAATGAAAATTTCCTCTTTTAAAAGAGTATTTAAGAGGCAGAAAAATTTAAGCTATCTGAAAAAAGACTTTAAGAAGTATAATAAGCATGTCATTGAGAGTTTTGCAGATTCAAAAAATGAGGCCAGTGGCATAATGCTTAAAACCTTTGTTAACCAAATAATTATATGTTCAAACCCACTAGAAACTCCGAGAGAGAAAGACAGGACAGGCTCCTTTCTCTGTCTGGATCGTTGTAATTCAAGAAGTCAAACTGAGTCAATGGCAGGCAGTAGGTTTGTTTTTTTTAAGGTTAAACCAATTTTCTATTGTTATAATGTATATTATATATCCATATAAGCACACAACTTTCTACTCAAGATTAACTGCTGGATTTTTTTTTCTATTCCACGCATGCAAACATTTTCTTTAAAGAGTAGATAACTTAGGGATTTATTTCTGTGTCTGATTTGCAACAAGTCCTACTTCATAAGTCTTAAGAGGGTTTAAACCTTTCTCACTCAGAAACTAGTCAATTAGGACCTCCTACCTTTGGTTTGGTGGTGCAACATCTTACCCAGAAGGCCTTCAGAGCTCCCTCATCTAGAATTATTGCTTAGTAAAGAAGACCAGTGTATAATCAAGAAACAACCATATTCTATCATATAAGACATATTTATTAAGATTTGAGCCCATAAGAGAAAATGATCAAGCATGAACAGACTCAAAGTGATTCTTCCTGCTGGAGCTGCTTTATAGTTTCATTTATCCAGGGCAAGAAAGCAGAAATTTTGGTGAAGAAGCATGGGGTGGTTTCATTCCTTTTTACATAGATACCAATGCCCTGAGCCACATTTTGGCATACCAGGGGACCACCAGAGTCTCCCTAAGAACAGAGAGAAGAAAGGCTGAGTTAATTCCTTGGCTAGTCCTACATACCTCCACATTCTCAAAGAAGATTGCCTTCCTTTGAGTAAGAAGAGATGAATGCAGGAAGCAGGAGTGGCATCCAATTCCTAAAACACATGCCTCTGGAAATTCTATGAACTTAGAGAAATGACGATACAGAACAGGGTTCAGATCATTTGTTCATAGGGTCACTATATGTCATGGTCAACTCAATGGCAATCAATAACAACAACAACAGGAAACCCTCAACTACCATATTCTGACCCTTGACATTATTATTGTCTCAGATCATTGACGTTATTTTTGTTTCATGCTTAGATTGTGACTATCTTCTTCCCTAGTTTAAGACCCTCCCATTTTACGTAGGTGTAGAAAAATCTGTTCCAAGGTACCATTTTAAGGAAACAGGCAGTCTTAATAGAAGATAGTACACTCACCAGGGGAACTACAGCTCTTGATTTACTTATTGGAGTTTGTTCTTTCTTCCTTCCTTTCTTTCTTTCAGCTTGGAGGAACAGTTTTCTTTGGTTTTGTGGGTTTGGTTTTTCAGTTGGATTTTTTTTGGGCTTTTTGTTCTGTTTTGTTTTTTGTTTTCTGTTTTGTGTGCCCTGGGATAAGGCAAATCTTGCTACTTCCATAGTCTCACCCCAAAAATGTCCAAATCATTCTAGTTCACAGTAACACTAGATACTATTGTTTAAAATGCTCATTGGAGTTTCTTGCCTATAAAGTTCATGTAATACCTTTGGAAAACTTCAAACCATAATCTTATAATTAGTACCTGAGTGGAAACTGTCTGTGCCCTAAGGAACTTTGGGCTGAAATAGGAGCCACACATTCATCCCTCTGAAGGGGCATTTTTCTGATTCACCCGCGGTAAGATCAGAGAGGTCTCAGTGAGTCTCCAACATATATTCCCCTTTGTTACCCAGGAAAATGGGTGGGGTGAAGGCATCTCCCTATTGCTAGAAAAGATCTTCAGATTCCAATCTTTCTGAAACATCTTTCACCCAGAGCTAGGCCAGGCTAATAGCATATCTCACCTTAAAGTAACGTATCATTTTCTCTTGGTCCCCTGCGCACAACTCAGAGGAATTGTCATAATTCTCGAAGTGGAGCCCACACTGGAAGTCTTCCTGCAGGATGACATCTACCTCATGCAGCTTGCTTGTGTTTTCATCCTTGGAGATCCCGCCCCAGCCAGCAACACTGCACACCTGCCCATCTCTCACATGGTCACTTTCTCCAGGCAAGGGGATTAAGCCCACAGCTGGGGTCAGCTGGGCCTTTGTAGTCAGCTGATGAAGGAAACAACAAAGTCCTGGTCACTAATGCCTGCTTCCCTTCAGAGTCTGATGGGCTGCACTTTATCCCTTTTCCTCCGAGGGCCTGGGATTAGTGAAGTAGCCAGGATGGGAAAGGCGGGGATCATGGTGGAAGGAGAAAGTCTTTGAAACCAAAGGAGCAGGAGCAGCAGAGAGTATGCCTCACCTGTAGTATCATGATGTCATTGGCATGAGTCCCAGATTTAAACTTAGGGTGGGGGACGGCTTCTTTCACAGGAATTTTCTGCTGTGTCTCTTCTTGCAACTTAATGTCATGGGCCCCCAAGGTGACATACATGGAGCTGCACAGAGAGCGGAGAAGAGGTTCTCACAAGATCTGCAGCTCTGGAGACTCAGGAGCAGGTGATAACTGAGTCAGGGTAGGGTAACTGCTGAGGGGAAATGCCAGAGAGAGGAGGCCCTTTGGACTAGCGCTTACTGTGGATCATTGTAGGTGATTGTTTAATTCTCTTTTGCCCTCAGGTCATATAAATTACTTGATCCACACCTGCTCTCAACCTACACTGTCTGCATGCAATAAATAGCCTGTGTGCTTGGATTCTGACATGTCTCAATTGCCTCAAACTCATATGTTACATGTTGACTTTTTCACCCCATCTCACCCCATTCTCAAATTGTTCTGCAGTTGAGATCACTTAGGACTGTTACACAGCTGAGGGAGCTCCCCTGAGTGGTGTACTTGCGGGGAGCAATCCTTAGAGGTTCAGCCCCTCACCATCCTAAGCAGTGAGCTGCTGTCAGGACAAAATCCTCTTGCACAAGGAAGCCACCACACTTCTTCTTCTTGACATCATGATAAAACTGGACAAATGCCATGTAGGGACGAGAATGAGGCTCTGCTACATGACCCCCAATGATCTCCTCTGAAAGAAAATGATGAGAAAGGAAATGACTGTGATGTCCTACCTGACAACTGAAGATTGGGTCTGCAATGTAGATGCTTGAACAATTAGTGATGGACCCTCCTGAAAGCATTTCTTGCTGTTAAGGTGACATGCCCTTTACCATCAAGTCTCAATAGGTCATCATACCTGATAGTGCTACCTCTGGACATCACTCAAGGATTAGGGACGAGGATCAAGGGACAGAGCTTGTCTTCAAGATAACAGAATCCCAATGAATCCTGGACAAGAATACCTGCACTATTCCTTTCTAGTTTCTTATCTGTCTGAAACTCTGATAACATCCAAATTGCTACTATTTTCTAATAATATACTCTAGTTAGTTTATAGAGGTAAAAAATTTAAAAGTCTTAGAATTCTCTGTACCTATATAGTAGATTGCTCTGGTTGCCTAGTGGCAATAACTGGTGCTGTAATCCTGAAAGCAAGTGATTTGAATTCACCAGCTGCATCAAAGAAGAATGACAGGCAATCTCCTGTGATTTAAAACCTCTGAAACCTACTTGAGTTTCCAATGTGAAGTGTTTCTGACTCATTGCAATGAGTTGTTGCTTTGCATCTTGGTATGAGAGAAAGGATTTTAATTACTTACCTTCAGCTGTTCTGCCAACTGCCTTTGTAAGAATGACCCGCTTTCCTGGTGGTAAGGAGAAGCTAAGGGGAGGCTACAACTTACTAAGCCTTTAAGGGGTGGTAGTCCAGATGTCATCTAGCTAAAACCAGAGACATTGAACAAGCCAAGAGTAGTCTAACAACTACTAAGGGGTCTTCTACTTAACCTTACAGGACATCTATCCAAAATGAGATGCTTAGTCTAGGTTTGATATGGAAGCTGGTATCTAGAGAGTTTTGGGGTCAGATGGAGATGATTCCTGAGCAGCCCTGGGCAGAAGGGAAGGAGGATTTGGGATCTGGTGAGATGGGCTCTGGCTTCTGGGATGTAGAAGTTCACTTACCTGCTACACTCACAGGGGGCAGGAGAGCAGCTAACAGGATTAGGAGTGGCTGCATCTTCTGGGGAAGGCTTCCCAGTGTAGAGCTGACAGTGTCCAGACACAAACTATCCGCCTTGCAATGAAGAGGCCCAGACCCATTGATTTTATATCCCACACATACGTCTGTGCTCTGTGCGTTTGGTTGGGTGTCATCACACAAGTTGGTTTTGTGAATTTTTCTGGTTTAGGTGAAGTGAGACAGAAACTGACACCACAGTCATACTCATGGCTACTAAGTCCCAGGCAGAAAGCAAGAATGCTGTTGTGTGTTGTTGTGCGACATTAAGTTGCTTTTGACTCACAGCGACCCCATGTACAACATCTCTGAACCCTGCTCTATCCTGTGCTAACTTTATTGTTCTGACACACATATCCCATTACCCCATTCAGAGAATCAATCCCTTTCATTAAGGTTCTTCCTCTCTTGAGCTGTCCCTCCCAACTCCAAAGTATGATGTCCCTCTCCAATGACTGTTTACTCTTTGTAACATGCCCGAACTATGTCATACAAAGCATCAGAATCCTTGCCTCCAAAGAGCACACTGGTTTCCAGAATAAGGAACTGTAAATTGAAGGCTGCTAAGAGTACTATAATGGCCTATAATATTGCTATAAGGTGTACCTGATAACAGTCCACGGTCTTTGCAATCACTTGCTATACGTCAGAGAGCTTGGACAATTACTAGGGATGATAGAAGGGGAATTGATGCCTTTGATCTGTTGTGTTGGAGAAGAGTATTGACTATTCCATAGACTGTGAGAATAAAAAATAGGTTCATTTCAAGAAGGTGCAACCAGGTTGCTTATCAGAGACAAGGCTTCTGGAGCTTCATCTGACATATTTTGGACATGTTGCAAAGAGAGACCAGTTCTTGGAGAGGGATGTCATGCTTGGGAGGGTGGAGGGACAGCAAAGGAGAGGAAGGCTCTCTGTGAGATAGATTGATTCAGTGACCAGGGTAATAGGAGTAGGGGTGTCAGAGACAGTGAGATTGGCACAGGATAGAGCAGGCTTTAGGGCTGTTATACCTAGGGTCGCTATGACTCTTAGGCGACTCGACGGCACATAACAACAACATCATAGTGTTGCTTGGCCAGAGAAATCTGAATCCCTTAGTGACTGAACTAAAATTGTTCTCTGATTTGACTCTTTTTCTACACAGATATTCTCATGAAAATACTTGTTTAGTAATTTTGTCAGCTAGGGCGCTGATGTTGCCCTTCACTACATACAAAATTGAGGTTAGTGCACAATATAACAGGCACTATTGGGACAGGATTCGTTTATTTGTGTGCCTGGAGTAGGAAAGTTATAGACACAAGTATACCTAAGTAACCTTTTTTTTTTTTCTTCCTACTGTCACACAATTGTTTTGGGGGATTATTTAGATTTTCTTCTTTAAAACTTTGGTGAAATATGTAGGGAGTTTGTTGCTAACCCAAAGTTCATGCCCCTCTGCTCAATACAACCTAGTAGATAATCCAGAGGAGAAAGATGGGTAGTCTCCTCCTAAAGTATTTACAGCCTTTGGAATTCAGTGTGGATCCAGGTATGAATCCATTTAGAATTGAAGTTAGTGAATTTCAAGTTTAGGTTTTAATGGAAAAACTCTGTCACAAATGGAACCTATATCAGTGGACAATTCTGAGAAAATTCTGGACTCAAAATTCATTGAATCTGAATGACAACATGAAATAACCAAGTAGAAAACCAGAACCTCCTCTAACTGGAGAGACAAATAGAGAGGAGGCAGTGTTTCCAGATCCCATGTCAGAGTTAGAATCAAACACAAAAGCTTCTGGCCTGTCAGGGGCTGGAGCCACTGGGGTGGTGTGGAGAGCAAGGGATCCATGCAGGAACAGTTCTCAAACTATAAGAGTGGGCTGGGAGGTCTCACTATACTGTGCTTGATCCAGCAGGAAACATCTATAGAAAAGAACTGGCGTAATGCAACATGTGTCAGACAGCAGAAAAGTGTAGAGTTTAGGAAGAGAGGAATTGAAAGTTAAATGAGGAACTTTCCAGTAAAGAAACAATATAAATACTATCTCAGCCTGGTCATCAGGGTCAATATCAAGAGTGACAAATCAGGCTGATAGTATGTGTGTGTCTTGGTTATCCAACGCTGCTGTAACAGAGATTCCTCAAAGTGGATGGCCTTTAACAAGCGAAACTGTATTCCCTTACAGTTTAGCAGACTAGAAGTCCAAATTCAGGACACAAGGTCTAGGCGAAAATTCTGTCTGTTGGTTGGAAAGCAAAGGCCTTGTTTCTTTCAGCATGTTAAACCGAGTATAGCATGGTGACTACCCTGTCTTCTTGCTTTCTTTGGCATCAAGGAGTTTTGCTATGTAGTGACCTGAGTACAAAAAGACTCGCTTCAGATCTGGTGATTATTTCCTGGTGGTACAAAAGTTTTCCTCTCTCAGGAACTTTTTTTTTTCTTTTTTCATTATGAGATAAAGGGTATTATCTGCCCTAGCTCAGGGGAACTCTCTATAACCCATTAGGAATGTAAAGCGATTGAAAGTGTTAATTGTACCCTGAATCTTGCTATAACTGTTTGGTTTAACATTTCATGGGGGGATAAATAATTCCTAAATCAATATCTATATATCTATCTACATCTATCTGTATATCTATCTATCTATCCATCTATACATACATATATAAACACGTGTTGGGAGACATACTTCAACCCTTGATCACATGTCCAATATGACTGATGAAAACTACACTTCCCTCTGTGGTCTTATTCTCCTAAACCCATTGTTTTTTCCTGTTGTTTTATACTGTAAATTGGTGACCAACTAATAGTTGAACCTCCAAGGGTTTTCAGAGGCTGGTTTAAAACCTGGAGATTGGCCTTTTTACTCCCACTGAGAAGGTAGCAGATTTGGAGGTAGACTCATAAATATCTGCATTATGCAGATGGCAGAACCATACTTGCTGAAACTGAGGAGGACCTGAAGCGCTTGCTGCAGAAGGTCAAGGATGCAGCCTTCAATATGAATTGAAACTCAACATCAAGAAAACAAAGATTCTCACCACTGGGCCGATTGGCAGCATTATGACAGATGATGAAGAGATTGACATTGTTGACAACTTCAGTTTGCTTGGCTTTACAATCAACACTCTTGGTACCAGCAGCCAGAAAATTAAATGACAAATTGCCTTGGGAAACTCTCTTGTCAGAGACTTTTCCAAAGTACTGAAGAGCAACATTTTCATGTGGAGATGTTCTTTGCAATTACTTGCTATGCATCAGAGAGCTGGACAATGACAAGGCAAGATAGAAGGTAAGTTGATGCTTTTGAGCTTTGGTGCTGGAGAAGAGTATTAAATATTCCAAGGACTGCTAGGAAAACAAACAAGTTCGTACAGAAGAGGGTGAGTCCAGGCTGCTCCTTGGAGGCAAGTATTCTGAAGCTCCATCCAACACACTTTGGACATGTTGCAAGGAGAGACCAGTCCTTGGAGAGGGACGTCATGCTAGGGGGGTTGGAGGGACAGCACAGGAGAGGAAGACCCTCGATGAGACGGATTGATTCTGTCATTGGTGTAATGGGGATAAGCGTGTCAGAGACAATAAGATTGGCAAGGGATAGGATAGTGTTTAGGGCTGTTGTATATAGGGTCACTAAGAGTCACAGGTGACTCGACAGCACATAACAACAGCAACAACAACAACAATCTTAAAGTTGACAATACAACTTTTTACCACTAGGCCACTAGCATGCTGGTATTTGAGCATCTGTTGAAACACTTTCTCCCCATCATGATATCTTTCTCCAAAGACAGACTCCTCCTGAAAAACATATCAGCAGATGAGAAACAAAGTTTCAGAAGCCTTGTTCCTGAGGTGGAATTTGGTTGCACTTTCTTCAATTCAGATTTGTTTGATCTTTTGTCAGTCCATGAGGTAGTAGCTACTTTTCTCCCACACCACACTGCAAAGGTATCTATGCTGCTTCTCTCGTCCTTATTCATTGTTCAAATTTTGGATGCATAAAAAGCAACTAAAGAAACCATAGCTTGGATCAGGTCAACCTTAGTCTTCAAGTTGACATTATTGCTCTTTAGCATTTTGTGGAGGTCCTTGAGAGCAAAGTTTCCCTTTATAACAGCTATTTTGATGTCATGATTGCTGTTACTATTGATGCTGTTGTTGTTGTTTTGTTGTTGATTGCCTTCGAGTCATGCACAACTCACAGAGTCAGTTGTTTAGGAAGTGGATGCCACTCCTGTTTCAAACACACACGACAATGACTACAACAATGCCACAATAATTAGCTTGAATGAGTCAGAGATTGCTAGGTGGCCACAGGATAGGACAGAGATCTGATATGTTATTTATACAGTCACTAAAAGTTGTACTCAATTTGACAGCACCTAAACACTGTGTGTGTGTGGGTGGGGTGGGGGGGGGTTGTGTAGCTCTGCTGAAGTGTTGGGTTAGGAATGTCATTGTCTTTGGGCTTAAATCTAGCAGCTACTCCAAAGGAGAAATGTGGGCAATCTTCTATGGAATTCACAGCATCTGAAAACACAATGGATGATCAACTTTGATACAGTGTGACTATACAACACATAACAAGAACAAATGCTTATTCATACATATATACACAAATTGTGTAGACCAGACATTACTTTGAATCAAACTTCTTGCTGAGGTTTCATAGAAAATATGATATATGATCTATTTTGAGGTACAATATTTAATCACTTCACATAATATTATCATTTTCTTCAGTAGTATTAAGAATATCGGGCTGGAGACTAAGGTGCGCCTGATCTGGGCTATAGTCTGCAATTACGTGCTATGCATCAGAGAGTTGAACAGTGAATAGGGATGATAGAAAGAGAATTGATGCCTTTGAGTTGTGGTGCTGGAGAAGCATGTTGAATATACCATGGACTGCTAGAACAAACAGATTTGTCCTGGAGAGGGTGAAGACAGGATGTTCCCTGGAGTTAAGGATTCTGAAGCTTCATCTGACATACTTTAGGCATGT